AATATAGTCTCTTAACAAAATGTCAATATTTAGAGCACTTGTCATAGGCTTGTAATGCTAACTAAATTTTGCACCCGGATAGAGGCTCGTTCGCTACCGCAGCGGATTGGATGGTAGCGCTGGCCAATCACGTTGCGCCGGGCCCAACTAAACTCCGCCCACTGGCCGTGACCGCGCTGGGTCTATGCCGGTTCAGTCGGCGGCAGCACCGCGGAGAGGTCGCACGGGGGCCGCGCACTGGAAACATACATGGAATCGAGTCTCGACAGGAAGTGTCTGAGCGAAAGCTTGCTCTTCATTTGGGGGAGTTGATAACCGCTTCTCCCTTCTTAGTAGGTATATCAACACCGATCCAGCTCAGAATATGAAGAATACTCAAGTAATGACTAATGAGGATACCTCCCCAAAACCAACTTTAAATAGAGAGCTGAGTCATGACTCATGCACTATCTGAAAATCAGAATGAATGCGTATTTTGGCGCCTATCTCATGGTCAGGTCGTGCCACTATTCTGTCACCTATGACAGCGTGCGAAGCCTCTGCACCACTCGAAAATATCGATTGGTTGGCTGCGTCAATCGCTGTTTCTGAAGACGCTGTTACATCTATGCAGAAAACAACAGAGTAGGATGATGAGTCGCGAGCACTTCCGATTGCCTAAGACATTGCTCCACGAGCTGTGTTCGTAATTCGGGAAGCGTTGAGAAGGGAGCAGAAATGTGATGTGCGATTTACTGCGCATGGTAGAAATGTGACATCAAAATAAGGGAAACAGGCGCATAGGCTAGCAAAGAAATCGCATCTTTTTGTGAAACTGAAGTAACTTTTCAACCTCTCCAATAGTGAGGCAGTAGGTTACTTATAGGTGTTTTAATTATTTACAGTTCAACACGAAAGCCTGGGGTCAAGTCAGCCCGTTGATCTCAATCTAGCCAATTATAAAATGGGTTAGTTCTGAAGGTGTTCATGTTGCACTGCAATCACATGAATCCATCTCAAGCATACGCATAAGCATACTATATTTCATATTGCAACCACATTTCTTAAATGCTACGTTGTAAGTTGTAACTGTAACTGTTAACCATGTCTTGCGAATTTGACGTAGGCTGACCGACGTCTTGTCTTGCATCAGTTCACAGTCACTTGACATCCACGATTTTTTTTAATGACGTTCAATCAAGTAAAAATCCAGTCACTAGCCCTGAACTTAGTATTAAAGTAGGTATATCTTTATTGATTGACATGGTGTAGGTTAATTTGCAATAAATTCAATAAAGAAGGCTGGTGCGCCAATTACGAGCGCTAGTTTCTACTGTATCGTTATTACTGCAACGGCAACCGCAAGGCAGCCACGTCCAATGCGAGCCGCCCCGGTCCGGCATACGGCCTTGGGTGCGGCGGCTACTGCCCCGTCACACTATGGTTGGAAACGGCCTCACGGATGGCCGGGGGTCAACGCGAAAAAATGTTTTGCCCATAACTTGTTAATGCGTAGACCGACTGCGATGAAACTTTGCATAGGTATACCAGTGTCTTTCGTGCATCATACAGTAACTCAGAAATGACGAGGTCACGTCACGTCACGCGTGTGTGACGTCATCATTGCAAGTATGTTATAAGTCGCCTATGTCTTTCGTTATGTTATCGATATCGCGAGGCATTTTGAACATGTTTTGAATACTGCTATTACTGAATGGATATTGTTGTTATGCTTTAGGGCGAGAAATATCAACGTAGTGACGCACAGTGTCTTACTATTGGTCATAAAGGGTAAAAAATTTGGAGAAAGAGTATTTATGATTTTTTTTAGATTGGGCAAAAAAGCAAGAAATAAAATAACGATCAAATGACAAAACATGCGTCAGATTAATCCGGCAGTTGCTGGGGTATTTCCCCATCCGCCGTTTGCCGGGGGGGGGGGGCGTTCAACGCCCCCAGCCGATAACTCGCGAACAAATAGGCGCAGCGAAACGCACGAGGCGCGGCAAACGAAAGAAGAACGCGACGAGACGATTCACATGAGTACTTTAAAGTTGAATTTCGAGGTCACAGGTCGGGTCAAGGTCAGGTCAAACACTTGAAATCGGGCTTTCAGTAGCATGGACTTTAGAACCTCGCAATCGGTGCCTCGCGTTTCGCGTTTCGATTATATCGTCATCAGTTGGTCCTAAATAAATTCAGTCATCAGTTGGTCCTAAACAATCTGTCACAACTGTCACAACTGTCACAACCCTTCATATAAGTGCTAAAAGAGTGTCAGATCAATGTAGGGGTCAGTCAAACATAGGCCACTGGCCAGTTTCAAAGTCAGGTCAATCAGGTAAGCATATAACCCCGAAAATTAAAACTGGTACCTATTCGCAGCCCATGCATGACACATGTTTTATGGGTACTTTTGGGCGTAGAACACGATGGTGACATTCATTTTATCATACGAGTACGTGGCTGGTTGAAAAAAGATCAATTTCAGAAATGCATGCATCATGGTCGTGAAGTATAGTCACGAGAAATTGCCAACATTCAGCTCAAGATTTTGGAAAATGTAGAACGATGATCAAAAACCATAGATAGCCATTTGATTTGCCATGGTATTGGCAGTGTAATGGCGTTTACAGCATGTCTGTATGTCTGCTCTGTCGGTGGATATTCATATCCATACTCCAGGATATCCATATACGTTTGCACGATATCCATACTCCAGGTGCAGGGGCGAGCAGTTACTTCTTACGAGGGGTGCGGAGTCGAAGTCAGAGTCGGAGTCAGAGTCGGAGTCGGAGTCGGAGTCGCCCAGAGTCGTGGCAACGAGCCAGGAGTCGGAGTCGGAGTCGGTGTCGGTCAGGAGCCCGCAGTGGAAGTCTGAGTCGGTCCGAATCGGAACAGCTCCCTCACGACTCCGAAACACTGGCAGGGGTCCGGAGTCGGAGACAGAGTCGGCCGGAGTCATGGCAACGAGTCAGGAGTCGGAGTCGTAGTCGGAGTCGTATTTGGCGCCACCACGACTCCGCAACCCTGCTTCTTACCATCATTTATAAGGATAAACGATTGCAAGACTGACGAGCCGACCTGGTGCTAACGAAGCGACGGGTAGGTACGCCTCGGGAGATGAAGCTTCACGGACGATTTTGCGCACAAGTGCGCAGTCTGCTTTTACGTTCCCCTTACACAGAATTGAACAGAGATTTATTCTGCCAAAAAGCTCAATGGAGGTCGATGGAGAACTTTTTGTATGTCCAATGAAACATAACCGTAATTTTGCAAATATTGCTGTGGTGACACTGCAAACAGAATGCAATGCCGTTCCTGATTTTGAACACGCATGGGAAAAAGAGTCACTCCACTCGATAGCCAACATAACAAGGATTATTTTGATATATAATAATCCAGTTTTACAACGTCATGGAGGTACTCCACATGCTATCACCAGCGCGGTTGTTTAAACCTTTGACGGCGCACCAAAAAAGCCACTATCAGAAACTCCCGATTCCACGTACAATAATGGAGACTAAATGCGCAACTAAATAATTTTTTCTGCCCAATTCAAAACATTTCATCAATTTCCAACAGAATGACACCCCAAATATACATATATTCCGAAATTGCCCACGGCCATCCGTGAGGCCGTTTCCAACCATAGTGCGTCGGCTCCACGCATCCGACTGACCGGCCAAGGTCACCGCTCCGTCCGCCGGGAGGGCGGAGTTTAATGGTTACGTGCTTGTGACGTCACGCCTTCGCACGGATAGCCTCTACTCCACTGACGGATTTACGGAGCTGATTTTAACATTACGAGGCAACGACAAGTACCCTAACAATTGATATTTTGTTAAAAGACCATATTAGCGAAAATTGGCGCTTGAGCTGAAATGTGCATTGTGAAAATTTGAAGCAAATTGGACAAATATTAAATAAATTATCGCCAAAAAACAGGGTCTCATGGGGTCTGAAATACATAGTAGTTGACAACTGACGAGCACAGTTTACTTTTCTCCTATTGACTTACAGTGAGGAGGTCGAAAAATTGATGTGACCCTAGGTCACCGATATAGAAAATCTGAGATGAACTTTGTTTGCATAGGTACTACTGGACTTATCAATTACTGAGAGTTTCAAAGCGATTGGTCAGTCTGTGTAGGCAGTAGGCTGTGTAGCTCTAGTCTCTGGGTGCATCCAATTTTTAGCCTGACCTTGAAAGACCTGGGTCTGAAATAATCACTCTTGTGCAGGAAAAGATGTGTAATAAAGTGGCGCCCTCGCTTTTTTAGAAAATTGCTAGAGCCCGCAACTGGGTGCTCAGCCCGCTTCCACCATCGCGACACCCCTTCCCAGCGAGGCGCCGGTGATCGTGTTCATATTCTAGCAGCCAGTTGTTTCCCTGGGATTCAGCTGTGTCCCCCAGCCGTCCCCGCTGCCCGTCCCCGCTCTGTCCCGCCCCCGCTCTGACCTGGCCGCGATCGTCTGACCCGGGGCGGCCACCTCCCTCCCAGCCACCCCCCCCCTCACTGACCTAGCCCCGGCGGGGTGACCCCCCTCACTGACCTGGCGGCGGCGGTGTGACCCCCCCCCCCTCACTGACCTGGCGGCGGCGGTGTGACCCCCCCCCCCCCCTCACTGACCTGGCGGCGGCGGTGTGACCCCCCCCCTCACTGACCTGGCGGCGGCGGTGTGACCCCCCCCCCCTCACTGACCTGGCGGCGGCGGTGTGACCCCCCCTCACTGACCTGGCGGCGGCGGTGTGACCCCCCCTCACTGACCTGGCGGCGGCGGTGTGACCCCCCTCACTGACCTGGCCGCGGCGGTGTGACCCCCCCCCCCCCCTCACTGACCTGGCGGCGGCGGTGTGACCCCCCCCCCCTCACTGACCTGGCGGCGGCGGTGTGACCCCCCCCCCCTCACTGACCTCTGGCGGCGGCGGTGTGACCCCCCCCCTCACTGACCTGGCGGCGGCGGGGTGACCCCCCCCTCACTGACCTGGCGGCGGCGGGGTGACCCCCCTCACTGACCTGGCGGCGGCGGTGCGACCCACGGCGGCGGCCGAGCCACCCTCCCCCACGGCCGACTCCTGCAGACCCTGCGTCTGGACGGCGCTCCGGCCGCCCGCTGACGTCCGGTTGACGTCGTCACGCAGCGAGCCCAGCACTCCGGCCACCAGCCGGGAGCCCTGGCCGGCGGGCGCTGGGGGCACAGTGACGTCATCAGCCGGGAGCCCTGGCCGGCGGGCGCTGGGGGCACAGTGACGTCATCAGCCGGGAGCCCTGGCCGGCGGGCGCTGGGGGCACAGTGACGTCATCAGCCGGGAGCCCTGGCCGGCGGGCGCTGGGGGCACAGTGACGTCATCAGCCGGGAGCCCTGGCCGGCGGGCACTGGGGGCACAGTGACGTCATCAGCCGGGAGCCCTGGCCGGCGGGCGCTGGGGGCACAGTGACGTCATCAGCCGGGAGCCCAGGGCCCTGTTTCACCGCCCGACGCTGCGCGCGCTGCAGCGCGCTGGGAGCTGAGGCGTACCCCTGACGTCACTCGAATGACGTTGCGTGCAATCCGTTAGCTTATAATGAATCGCGTTTGGAACAGAGGTCCTAAGGAACCAAGTACAGAGAGAACAGAGGTTTGAGTGCGAATGCTGCTAGCGTGCTGATGGCGCTGGCGCTGGGGTACTAGCGTTTTACGATGACGTCATAGCGTAGCGTCAGAGTGGAGTTTGTTGATATTGCCATGGAAACCCAACGCACCGACGGCCGACGCGCGCAGCGCTCTGCCGTGAAACACCGCCCTGGCCGGCGAGCGCTGGGGGCACAGTGACGTCATCAGCCGGGAGCCCAGGCCGGCCGTGTTCGGGTCCGCGCAAAATATTTTGCAGAGTGTGAAGTCACACATGCGATGACGTCGGCCGCTTGGCTCCGCCCATGCTCCGCCCCCTCTCAGCCGGCCCGCAAAGCCGAGGGCCACGCGACGCGCGGCGAACCGTGGCGCGGATGGACTGGTGACCAGGGTTTCGTTCAATAACTGAGTTAACTGTAAAATGCGTTCAAATTTGGTTCATAGCAATGTGCCACTGAAAAGAAAGATAATGATACCAAAAAACACAATACTAACCACTTACAATAAGAAATATTGGACGGTAAACTTTAACCCTCGCCGGCACAGGGGGGGGGGGGTTGATGCAACCCCCCCTAAGGTTTTTCGCGAATAACTCGCGTAAAAAGCGGCCGATCGCGACAAGACTTTCAGTACCCTCGCATTGATCAATTTTACACCTACCCTGAAAATTTCATGACCCTGACCCCAATGACCTTTGACCTGTGACCTCTTTTCTGTGACCATGTTTGGCCGAAATCGCGGTTCGGTGCATGTCGGCTCGCATTAGCCGCGCGTTTGCAAGCTTTGCGTGGTTTCAAACGTTCAAACATGTGATTTGATGTTGCTCCCATGCATTAGGGTGGGTGTCAAGGTCACCTGAAGGTCAGGTCAGGTCATTGACCTTTGGTGACCTCGGGTGACCTCGGTTCACTTTTTCGAGTTTTACATGTTTCTAGGCTAGTTTTTGGAGCTGAATTCGAATTTAGCAACCATTTGAACATTTACGAAGTAGTTTTGGTGCCTTCGTAACATGTTACGAAGCTGTCCGAGGCGGTTGACACGTATTACGAATACCCGCCACAACCCCTACCGGTTAACCTGACTTGACCTGACCCGACCTGGTCTAAATGCTTAAAGACATCATCTCTGATCAAAACTAACACGATATTCGTGATCAGCAAGCACCCCGGAAAACCACATAGCAGCCACACTTTACGACTTTCTAACAGGTCCCGATTTTCCCGGTTTTCGGGTCATTGACCTGACCTGGAAGGTCACCCGATGACCTAGGACCTTAAAATTGGGTATCATCGGCTTCCTCTCGTGACGGGCAACACGCTCGTTTTTCCGCGAAGCTCTAGCTCGATCAGGGGCCAAACGCGAGGGGGGGTCGTACCAACCCCCCCCCCCCTTGTGCCGTCGAAGGACTCAAAATAGCCTGTGCCGGCGAGGGTTAATCCGCGCCACTTTCGCCTCCTGCAGCTACTATTTTCTTCTTGCGCAAAACTGAAAGATTTTGCGCGAGCCTACGTCACACGTGTGGCGTCATACGCCGAAGGGCGGAGCTTGGCACCCGAGGGACCCCAACTGCGCATGCGTGGTGCAAAATTTTACAATAGGTAGGATGCGCTGCCCGAACACGGCCCTGGCCGGCGGGCGCTGGGGGCACAGTGACGTCATCAGCCGGGAGCCCTGGCCGGCGGGCGCTGGGGGCACAGTGACGTCATCAGCCGGAAGCCCTGGCCGGCGGGCGCTGGGGGCACAGTGACGTCATCAGCCGGAAGCTCTGGCCGGCGGGCGCTGGGGGCACAGTGACGTCATCAGCCGGGAGCCCTGGCCGGCGGGCGCTCGGGGCACAGTGACGTCATCAGCCGGAAGCCCTGGCCGGCGGGCGCTGGGGGCACAGTGACGTCATCAGCCGGGAGCCCTGGCCGGCGGGCGCTGGGGGCACAGTGACGTCATCAGCCGGAAGCCCTGGCCGGCGGGCGCTGGGGGCACAGTGACGTCATCAGCCGGAAGCCCTGGCCGGCGGGCGCTGGGGGCACAGTGACGTCATCAGCCAGGAGCCCTGGCTGGCGGGCGCACTGGCCACAGGTCAGGTCAAATGTTGAATGTTGACCGTTTACAGGCATTTCAAGAAATGCGTTTTAAAATCGAGTAAAATCGAGTAAAAAAATGGCCATTAAAAATCATCGATGGGGTATTGTTCGTTAAACACATATTTTGCTATTTGAGGTCACTGATACCAGGTCAGGTCACAAAGTTCACTGGTCAGGTCTCTGAGGGTCACAATATGAAAATATCCTGTGATGCATGTTTTATTGTCTATTTTATATGAAATGGACAAAACATCAAATGCGAATATGTGGGCCTTTGGGGTCAGTTTAGATTATGTTTTGGTGAAGGTCAAGTCAAGGTCAGGTAAAGGTCAGGTCAAGGTCAGGTCAAATTAGGTCAAATTTCAAAGTTGATATTTTTGCATAATGGGTATCGGTTCGATGTAGCTCGTCACGGGGAGTTTAATGGTGGTCTTTATTTTGCGCTACGTGCTCTAGAATTGCTAGAAATTGAGTTTAAAAATTTGACCTCATCAATTTTGAACAGTTTTTTGCTATAACTTGGCCAAAAGAGGTATGGATCTAAAAATTGGTATGTAGATAGAAGAGCGCAGGAACTATCACATATGTTGCGGTTTTTTTCGAAATTTGAAAAACTTTTTGGACTTTTTTTCATTTTTGCGTTTTTCTAAAAAAATAACTTTTTGATTTTTAGGAGTCAAAATCCCAAAGTTTTGAAAATCCAAGATTACAGTTTTGTAGCGCCGTTTTTTGATAGGTACATGACCATATTAATACGCCCGGTTATATATAACAAGATATAACCGGTTTTTCCGCGACACTACGAGCGTCTTGCCTCGGCGAGCAGCGTTCGGCGGCAGGCGGGCGGCCGCCCGCGCCCCGGGCGGCAAGGCCGCTGAGGCGGCGGCCTCCTCTGATTGGTGGAGCGACTCGTGTCACGTGACGGTGGCGGCGCGGGGTTTGGGTGTATATGCGCGGTCACTCTGTTCTAGGCCGCCCGGTCTGACGCAAGTCAGCAGTGTTCTCGCTCTGAAATGTTTTTGCGTTTACTGCGGTCGTGTTCAGTGGAAACTGGAAGACATCAAGGGGAGTATAAGTTCGGTTTTATATCAATGTTATATTGATTGACGAGGATGTTTTTCCTTTCGGGTTTTTTATGTTTATTTTTACTGGTTTGTTGCTTGTTAGTTGTTTGTTTTTATTTTCGGCATGAGGTTTGGTTATTTTGTGCTTATGTTATGCTATCGAGGTAAGAAAGGGGTCGATGAGCAATGGGTCGGCAAATGCCTGGTATTATAGGTTCTTTGAAGGTTGGATAAAAGAATGAAACATGGACTGCTAATTTGCTTGGTGGTGTTTTTCAGATTTTGGGGAGATAGGGTGTAGGTTCTTGCTATGTGTAACATAGCTGAAACTGTTTTTTTTTTTCTTCTTCTTCCCTGGAACGGAACGCCGGACTTTGCCATCCTACACTCAGTGCGAGTGAAATCAGCTCATGCTTCTCGGTACGGTGTAGCAGCTCAGAGTGCACGGCCTGGCCGGCGTGGGGTTTTTGGTGGCCACGTGGTGTTGGCCGGTGGTTGGAGTTGGCAGAATTGCCGTTTTGTGGTGCCTGGTGTTGGTTGAACTGTGGTTCCCATACACGTGAACGGTTACAGGCGTAAGGTGTGCCAGGTGGGCGTACCCCGTGGAGGTACGCCCAGGTGGGCCAGGTGGGCCTGGCCGGCGTAGGGTTTGGTGGCCACGTGGTGTTGGCCGGTGGTTGTGCAGAGAGTTGGTAGAATTGCCGTTTGGTGGTGCCTGGTGTTGGTTGAACTGTGGTTCCCATACAGGTGAACGGTTACTGGCGTAAGGTGTGCCAGGTGGGCGTACCCCGTGGAGAATGAGCTGCTGGTGATGTTTGGCTCTGTCCGAGCGTGTCCGAGCGGGTTTTTCATTAGTGGGTTAGGGATTGTTGATAATAAGGGTACCAACTACCAGGTGAGACTTGAGAGGGTAAATGGAGTTCATGCTAATGATACCCAATGCAATGGTATTGGTCTAAAATGGTATTGTTACCTGGTTACTGGTTAGGTTGGAGTCAGTGTTCGTCATGGGCCGGGCCAGCCCAACGGGCCATGGGCTGGGCTGGGCTACGGGCTGGGCTGGGCCCTCAAATATGAAGGATCGATGGGCTGTGGATGGGCTGGGCCAAGACCTGTAAAGTGGAGTCAGGGGTTCGCAACAGAGACAAAAACTATAACTACATAGCTCATTACTGTGCAAGACTAAAAAACGAGTTAAATAAAGCACGCATGCAATGTGCGTTGTGCATGCTGCTCGCAAAAGATTGTTTATTTGCTATCTTTGGATACCTGTGTGGTGTCAATAATTTTTAGTCCATTCATTTTTGACGGGCTGGGCCGGGCTGGGCTTTGACGCTTTTACCATGAATGGGCTCGGGCTGGGCCGGGCTGTGAAACCATGGGCCTGGGCTGGGCTGCAACTGGGATTTTGCGGCCCGTGGCGAACACTGGTTGG